CACACACACACACACACACACACACACACACACACACACACACACACACACACACACACACACACACACACACACACAGATACACCAACATCCACCTCAACAGTAATCAGATGGTTGTTACAGGTGAAGAAGGACCCAGACTCACCTGAGGCCACACCTCCTTCCACTCCAGGGTCCTCCCACTCTTCAAAGCCCCTTCTGCAGGGAAACGGCAGCATGGACAGCCGAGTGCGGCAGAGGAAACGCAAAAAGGTGTCGTCAGGCTGTTGATGTTTGACCTTTTTATCTCCTGATTAACAGTGAAAAATATCAGAGCAGAGCTTTGATTCATGATTGGTACAAAGTGTGACCTTTACATCCTTTATTCTCTGCATGTGAATTAGACGTCTTTGAAAAAGTTGTTCAAAGTGACTGAAATTAGAATTAGAAACTGAATCAGTGTGTGTGAGACGGTGGTCACGTGTTTACCATGTTGTGTTGGTCCAGCACAAAATACAACACAACTTCAGTAGACAGTATTGTTCTTTAAGATTAAGATTTTTGCTAATGTGCAGCATGTTCATCACATCGATGAGACAAATTCAGTTCAGTTTATTTATGCAGCACCAAGTCACAACAAATGTCTCAGGTCTCTACAAAAACAAAACAATCAACCTAAAGAAGCAGCAGGTTGTGTTGAATCTTCACTTCATCACAGTCTCCATCCTGAGCAGCACAGTGGAGAGGAAAAACTCCCTGCTAAACCCAGAACCAGGCTCAGGACAAGTGGCCACCTGCCTCAACCAGCTGGGTTGAGGGACAGGAAAGAGACACAGGACTGGTCCAGGTGTGTTTCCCTCTGTAAGAGACACAAAGACAACATGTCATGAAGCATCTCTTCACTAACACTGTGCTCAGTGAAGGTGGCGTGCTGCTGACCTCAACCAGGGATGTCAGGAGGTGGAAGGGAAACTTCCCAGACCTTCTCAATCCCACAGCATGTCTTCTGTGGAGGAAGTAGAATCTGAGGAGCTCAGGGTTGGTCCGTCCATAACTGGAGCCACTAGCAGAACAAATCAGAGCCGGGCCGGGGTCGGGGCAAATGATATAATATAATGATATAATAATAAATCTCATGATGATATCATTTTATACAACATACACGTGCCTGCAACAGCAGGTCTTACAAGCTTCAGCACCACAGAGAGACTGTGTTATTGTGAAGTCCATCAAACAGACATGAAGTATAACAAACTAAGAGAGATAGAGAGAGAAAATATATACAGCTATAAAACAGCACAAATTCAAAATATTTCAGCACCATGGAGAGTGGTCGGGTCATTTTGACACCAGCTTTATCTATTTCAACTCAGAACCTGTCCCTATCAGTAGCTAAAATTCAGTAACGCTGGCACAGCGGCCCACATGTTCACAAACACAGTTTCAAAAAGAAGTAGCTACTSACCACTACTGAAGGACATATGACAAACCTTACGCTACGAGAACTCGTCAGTGATGCTCTTTGATCTCTTATTCTGGACAACATGAGTCCTCTCAGTCCCTCCTGTCCCAGTGTGTCCCACTCAAGTGCAGCAGGTCAAGTTGTAGGACTGTCTGTAATTTTGTCCTCATTTTGCAGGTAGGCCTATACTGAAGTTAACAGACCAATCTCCCAGATTTTTTTGTAAGTTTTATGGATTAAATAAAAAAAACAGTTTCAAAATTATTTAACATTTCAGACTGAGCCTGTAGGAAGTAAAAAAACAATAAATATTGTCAAATAATCGTCTTCCAACCAGCTCTGCTACTATAAATAAGTTTTCATTCCCTCCTCATTTCTTCCTGCTCTACCCTGCAAAGGTGCTGAAACCCGCGGCCAACAGTCCGTCTGTACGCAATCCTAATTTGTTAAAATTATGTATTTTTGAGGCTCAGTATACAGGTAAACGACTGAAGGGGTTGACATGTGCAAGTGGTGAGTTTTAACTTAGAGGAGCGCTCAGATGTGCTGACTGGAAGAGTCAAAAATAAAAGGAAAGTGGTGCAAACCTCACTGAAGTTACAGCTGGATGGAAGCTTTTTAATGATCCGCCAAAGATTCTTGTTTGTTTATCTGGTCCCTGAAGAAGTTCTAAATCAAACAGACCGAGCTCTTCTGGATGCGTTCGGGCCCGCTTTCTCCACCTGCCCCAGAGGGTCGGCTCCATACTGCCTCCGAACCGGTTCGGTCTCGTCCCGTGCTCCGAGGAGCTCGGAGAGGAATGTGCAGGAAATGTGAGGTCACACAATAAATCCAGTGATAAATGTAGAAGTCTGAGCAAAACAAGTCATTGTGTGGAAGTCGGGTTGAAACTGCATCACTCTCTGTCGACTTTCTGAAACTTCTGATTTCAGAATAAAATCCACGTGTATCGTGTGTGTATAAATATGTTGTGAGCTGCATGTTTCCATCTGCTTCCTAATCATAATGATGCATTTTGACAGCATTTATGTATAAATTTAACCATATAATTATTAATATAACAAACATTTTGACAAAACTGGCTTTTCTTTAGGGATTTATTTTGTAATTATGGAAGTTGTGCTCGTTCTTCTTCCTGTTGGTGCAGTGTGATTTTTGTTAATTGACTGTGGAGCAGCTCCGACGTCGGGCAAAAGATGAATCTAATTTTGGTGGATCTGGGTCCGCTCGCTGCTCTGCACCATCATGAGGAGCAGTGTAAATACTGTCTCTGATTATAATGGTTGAATATTTACCCAGGCCCCATATGGGCCCGGCCCGGGGGCGTACCACCCTCCCAGCCCCCCTGAAGCTTCGCCCCTGACTGGAGCTGAGGTCACTGAGGTCACACATAGGCCCAATATATATATC